AGAGATTTCAGGTCGGTAGAAAATTTAGAGGTATTTTATAAAAACTGATCCTAATCTTATTTAATGTTTGATGATAAAGAATTCTGCGATCATCACAATCTAGGACTTAATAAGGGGGAAATATTTATTTTGAAAAATACTTTGAAAGGATTTTCACAAAACGAAAGATAAACCACAAGTTTTAAGAATGAATGGTTTGAAATGATTATAGATTTGGAAAGACTTTATAAGCATGAATTTAAAAAATAATACATATTTTAAAATAATAAAGAATAATAATAATACCATTTGGATTAAAGTTGGATTTTTTTCCTAAAATCAAAATAAATATCTTCTCTTACCTTTCTTTTCCAGGAACTCCCTTATCCTTTTTCCCTCAGTAGGGCTGGCGAAATTTGCGGAGTTATATTTCCTATGGGCGGTAACCGGTACCGCCCCTTTATGCACACACACAGTAGCAGAACTGCTCAGACGTTATAATTTGTAATCATGCTGAGTGCAGCGACGGCCCAAAAATCAGGAAGGGGTTGCTCGACCAGGACACGAGAACCAGGACGAGGATGAGGATGGGCATCCAGCAAGTGGTTGTTGACTGCCGGATGCTTAGCAAGGTCTTAGCTGTTATTACGCTCATGTGTCACTTTTCCAGGACTTTTGCAAATGCGTGTGTCTACGTCCTCTCGCTGTCTCGCTTCCTCCCTTTTCATTTGTGTGTGTGTGCTCATATTTTATTCAGCATCTGGTGGTTATCCTAGTGCTGCCCTCTCGCTTGCACTCGCTGGCCACTCCGTGTTTTTTTGACGTCTGCAGACATTTTGCCAAGTTAATCTCCGGTTTGTTTTCCTGATAATGGGTTTGTCAACGGTACTTTGTGATGCCCTCTCTTTCTGTCTGTCTGTCCGTGACAGTGTGTGTGTGCGAGTATATCTATATTAATATTTGCATAAATGCAGTTGTAGTCGTGAGTGAGGTTTCTCCTTTTTTCACTGTCTGTCTGATGGACTCTTTGCCGTTGGTCCTTGTTTTTCTGGCTCGTATTTACCCTGTCAGGCGGTAAAAACAAGTGAGAGTGATAAAAAAAGGTTATGAACACAAAGGGACTTTTGGGTACCCTAATATATAATCGTTAAATATATTTATATATACATATATTCTTAAAAAAGTTTGCAAAACCAAATGCACTATTTAATATCTTAAAGTGAAAAATAAAGTTTAATATATTGTATATTTAGCTTTAATACGCGACCTTTAAACTTTGCAAGCCCCTATCCAACCTTAACATTTTGTAGCTCAAAATGAGTAAAGTGTTTATTTGGAAATATCAAAATAATATTAAATTAAAGTACAAATATATGAATTTCTTAAGATTCAAACCTCTCAACTAGTCCAATACACCCGTTATCACTCGACACCCTTTGAACACCCATCATAGCTGGGCCTTGAAATGGTGTTGCGTTTCAGCCACGCCCACAAATTTTATCTTGGGCCCGCCCCCAAATTAATCAAGCGGCTGTTGCAATTTTCTCACAACTCCACCGAGGGGTACATATGTGTGATGTGTGGGCGTCTCCCCGTGCGGTTCAATCTGCTGCAATCTGCTTCGTCAGGATCAGCACCAGGTTTGGACACCACCACCATCACCTGCTGGTGACAAGGACCAAAACCGAATCCGAGTCCTGGCCGGAACACCTGTGCCGCTTGGGAGCTTGATCCGTCACGGGTGTCCTGGCCAAAAATTCGCTCACTTTGCTGGCTGATTTTGACAAGCTCAATTAGGGCAGCAGCACTCTAACCGGATTGAAATCCGGATTGGATCGGGATTTGGTGGTGGTGTTCCAAATCACTGTTTTCGGCCATAATGGGGCAAAAAAGAAACCGTTTAAATTAATTGCAGTTTTAAGCAGATTGAAACTTGTTAAACAGCGAGCCAACGAGCTTACAATCCGCAGCTGGCGGCGAAGTTTTTCCCACCCGCTGCACGCACACTGCACCGCCCACACACACTGCACTTAAGATGATAATCATGTTTACGTGGCGCAAGTTAAATTGCTAACGTAATGGACTAACAGCAGGTGAGGACGACTCCACGCTAGAAGGATTCAAGGAGAAGGATTCTGGGTGCTCACACTGCATTGCAAATTTAAATTACACATATAACCGATTTCAACAAAACAAATTTATTTTTATTTTTAATATACTTCGTTTTAAAAAGGAACTTACTGACTAAATGTATATAGTTTTACAGATACAAAAATCATAGAAAATAATTGGTAAACTGACTATTTTGACAAAGGAATTTTTGGTTTGCAACTTTATTTTGCCAAACTTAAATTCTTTCTCGTTTAAAAATAAATTTAAATATAAACCATAATTTTTATAAATATAAATTTCAGGGCTCAATTTAGTTATATATTTCTAAAGCCACATTTTTTTACAGTGTGCGAGCTGCTCTGGAGCTGTTCATGCAGCTCATGCGTGCGCTGCTGTCAGCGGCACATTTTGGCTGCTTTCAAGTGGCCAACAACCTGGATGGCTCAGAAAAAGACCATTTGCTTGGACGTGCCACCGGGCGGAGCAAAGGGATGGGGACGGATTCACGGGATTGAATTGGAAGCTGGAAGGACGGTAGATCGCAACGCTCCTGTGTGGTGTGCGCTTCATTGGACAACTGAATATGCAAATTGAATTGAGCGTATTATCGACAAGGAGGCGGGGGAGCGGCGAAGAGGGCGTGGCCCTGCAGGTAAGCAGCCTCGGCTTGGCCATCAACATAATCGCTCAAGCCAAGGGCTTTGAACGGGATTGCTATGGCAATGGGCGATTGCGATGGCGATGGCGATGGGATCGGTGCCCAGTGGGCCAAGATGGTGGCAAATGGTGCACAAAATTAAAATTTTAATGGCCAGCAGCTGATGCTTGTTTGGCTTTCAGCGGAATGGGTTGCAGAAGGGGATAAGGCTGGGGATGAGGATGAGGATGAGCTGCGCCAAAGAAAAGCACGATTAAAGCCAAGTCAACGAGCAGCTCTAAAATCATTGTGGCTTGCTTATGAATACGGAAAACTGCTGCATACTTCTGGGCTGCATGGAGCAGCAAGAAAATGTTGCATACTACCCGGATGAGTATGGAGGAAAATTTGCTGCACAAGTGTGCTAGAAATAACATTGCCAACTTCTAGGATGCCAACTATGATTTTCTAAGTACTAATTTGGAACATTCCATTTTTAAAAATAAATGCATTGCACAATCAACATCAAAATTCAGAAGAGTAAATCTATTTGTAATGAACTTTTGTTGCCCGCTAAGTCGAGGACAAAAATACACTTCCAAAATCCTTTTTTTATTAATTGATAAATTTTCGTCTATTCTTGTCATTAAGTACTATTTTTCATAGCTACAAAGATTTCAGATAGAATATATAACGTAGGTTTTATAAAAATTATACGTTTCCGTAGTCAAAATAAGCATAAGGTGTGTTTCGTATGAGAGAAATTGAACTCTTGATAAAAAATTGTTGTATATTTTTTGATGTCCCCTGAAAATTGCAGTGATAAAGAGCTCTCCGCTTCGACTAATGTTCTCATTTGGTTCTTTGTTCTCTACTTTGCACTATGGGGTTTTTGACCACTTTATGTGGCATTTAGTCATTTTTTAAAAGTGCTCTAATTAAAAAAAAAAAATGGGAATGCATTAACAGAACATCAAACTGTTATGCCTCATACTCAAAATGTTAATACTTAACAGCATATGTTAGCATAACAGCTGTAAAGTCAGCTGTTGCATCCGAAAGCACCAGCGCTAAGTTTGCAATTTTTTCGAAGCGTTCTTTGAAATTAATTTATTCGTGTAAAACACCATTTGAAAAGAAAAAAACAAATGGAAACTGATCTCACAGGCTTGTACTATATGTTAAATGTATTAATTGTTTAAATTATGCGTGTTTATACTAATATTTTGTCATTTTATAAATGAACCTTAAGCTGAATTTTGAGGAACAAATTTCAACTTTGGGAAGAGTTTTGAGATAGAAGTTTGCATTAGTTTTCAATGCGTCCAAGTGTATGTTGTAGCCTTGTCAATTCTGAGCAAAAATCTGTTAGTCTTATTGTGCACTTTTCCGCACTATTGGTGCAATTTGAATTTTTCTTAGATAACCTCACTTTCTCCAACGCCGACTTGGTTGCTGTTTGGAATAGCGGGAGGGGCAGGCTTGAGCAAGAAAAGGCTATACAATGTTTGATGAACAAATTATTTATAATATGAGGATCATTTTGATATGTTTGTCCTGTCAGTTGCCCGTCAATTTGGACAAATTCGAATCATTTTGCCCACAAACTGGCGAATTGTTGTCGATATGTATCCGTGGCTGCCGATGAGTTTTGAGTTTGATGAAATTTTTTCTTTTTGCTTTTGTTGCACTTTTTATCATCCACTTTTATAGGCATGGAGCAACAAATTTCAGCTCCTTAAATTTCATTAATTTTTTTTTAGTTTTAACCGATCGTTCCTATGGGAGCTATAGGATATTGTTTCCTGATCCAAACGATTTTCACACTATATGTGCCTAGGGACAAACAATGACGATTGGTAAAGTTTCATGTCGATATCTCCAAAACTGACCGAGTTATTAATTAATGCCACAAAAACAGGCCAAAAACCCCATAGTGCTTTGTCGGTGGGGTAAGTGTGTGCATATAGAAGCTCACACCAACACACTCAAGTGGCCGGTTGATTGACGCACGTAAACAATTTTTTCATTGAAAGAAGAGGCCTCAGTCAACGACGAGCGCTGTTCGCGAGCGGAAAGCTGCCGCAAAAATAAAATAAAACAAAATTTGAGCCGAGCAACTTAAAGCGGGAACAACAAAAAAAGAATTAACACAAATTAGCGCTATGTAAAAGTTTGAAAACGAACCGAAAATTGGACAAGTGTCGTCGGCGGTGGGGCAAAAAAAAAAGTAAAATATTCAGGGCATCACAGATGCCGCGATGATGGAGCCAATTAGTGCGGCGGTGCAGCGGCGACGTCAACTGCTGAGCAGCGTTGAAAGTTTGCGCGGTCGTGTTCGTCAAGTGCTAAAATGTGTTATTAACCTGCATATTGAGTTTTTGGTAATGGAACAGACGAAAAAGTCCCCCTCCCCGCCCTTCGATTCTGTACCCACTATCCAAATCGTTTTTACCACACAAGTGGCCACTGAGTGACACTTGTTTGCATTTGTTGTTGACCGAAAAAGCTTCTCTCATCCGCATTGACAAGCGGCTATGTCTGCTACATATTCAACCCCCTCGGTCAATATACTTTCCCCCTTATCGGGGCTTTGTGCCACTTCTGTTATCTCTCCATCGCTTACGAAATGTTATCACTGGTTTCACAAACACTTTTTGTAAGTGTCAGTCTTAACTCTAAAAATAGGCATTCAGTTATAAAGATATAAAGTTTATTGTAAAAGGTGACCCTCAAATATTTAAGATCTAATATTATTATAATATGACTTTTATATAAAAGTCATAAGAGGTGATTATTGATTGTGCCCCAAACTATCTCTGTATGTTTACATTGAAAACCCAATTTTAAGTCTATGTTGAAAGTAAACTATTATTTATTATTAACAACCGACTGTTAAAATTTATCTTTTGAATTACTGCGTTGACGAATATGTAAAAGTTTTCCGCACTTTCAATCGGCTGTATCAATTAACCCTTTTTAACCTTAGCGTATTTCCTTCAGCCAACTTTTTTATCGTTATTTTCATTCCCATTTCACCTGTTATCACCTGTTGTTTAACATTTTGCGCCCGGCAACTCTGTTAATAGCTACTGCAGCGATTTGGAACATGTTAATGCAATTATAGCCAGTTATTGGGAACGAAATGTTAGAATGTTGTGCTGGTCAAGGGGTTGGTGGTACGGGGAGGGGGATAGGGCTTGCAGTGATTACTTGCACTGCTAATTAGACAATGTCGGTTCGGTGATTGGCGAACGAACGGGTTGGCAATGTAAAGCACAGGCATGGGTAAATAAATATGAACCAATGAACCATTTAAAATGAAGATTGTGTTTTACAAAACTAAAAGGTATTTATCAAAATTTAATCTATTAAAAAAAGTGGTTTAAGCTTAAATACTGTCTTAAAACTTTATTTAAAATTGATCAAAATATTATGAGAGAATATTGCATTAAAATCAAAAGCTACGACTATTTTCAACAGGTTCCCATAACAAAAACAATAAAATTTCGGTCTTCTGTATTTAATAACTATTCATCTGCTTGAGGGTGTATGGGGTGGGGTTTACCCCTCGAAACATGCACCTAACATGGGCTTAGTTGGCCGGGTTGCGAGGCTTTGCTAATTGGGCACTAATAGAGACAGTAGTGACGAGACCTATGAAAAGATATGGTAGCTGAAATCCGAGAATGGAGGGCGTGAATGGGGGCGGGGCTGGGGGCATGGCTGGGGGTGGGGGACTGGGGGGACTCAGCCAGAGGGAAAGTAAGGCTATCAGTGACCGTAACGCCGTCACTGTAGCTGTCAGTGTCATCGGATACTACAATGCAAATCGAGCAAAATAAGCGATTTCTAGCTAATCCAATTTCAACCCACATCTCGCAGGTGCTTGAATCCGATGTAGCGGCCCTGTTAGAGGAGGTGCGGGAATTCAACGACGACCACGAGGAGATGTTGCGGCTGGACAGGATTATCGAAACTCTAAGGGACTACAGTGGACCCACGATATGCCACGAGTGGCCCTATCCCCTCATCTTCAAAGGCACAATCGACGAGGCACACGTCGCACAAATACTCAATGCCACTGAGCTGGAGCTGGAGGAGGAGTTGGTGAAGGTATCCGGCGAGAGGAACTGCATCCAACTGGAATCCGACATGGTCACACCTCAAAGGAGGTCGAGAATGCTGTGGTTCTCCAGGCGGAGCAGCAGAAAACGAGCTGAGCACTTCAAGGAACTCCAGTCAGCTATTTGAATGACTCTCTGAGCGTAAAACTAGTCCGAAATAAATGTGAACAAAACAATATAAACGAAAGTACCCGAATGTAATCTGCCAATTTCGAACACACTTTAAGCTTAAATCCTTCAAATTATATATATGAAGTTGAAATCCATCTTAACCAATTTCTGACAAAAAATATAAGCTAAAAATAACAATTTGCCTTAAAGTTTTTATTAATAATACATATTTTTTAAATATGTCTTGATTTGAAGTATAAAAAACTCCACAAAAATAATCCAATGTTTAAAAAAGACTGCGCAGTTTTTAAATAACTTAAATAGTCGTATTTTGTTCAAAGTTTTTCTCAAGCATTTATGTTTAAGATTTTACTGATTGTCAAGATTCTTTATAAAAATAGCATACAACTTGCCTTATCTACAAATAAATTAAATTCAATGTCTTACTAAGAATTAAAATATTTGTGTGTTATGTGTTACACTAGTCGATCATTAAACCTTGCTGATAAAAAAGAAAATTTTTTTAATTTTATCTTGCCAATTAGCAATCTCTACATGAATTTCTACTTGAATCGTATTGTAGAAAATGTCATTTCTGGTTGTTTCATTTACTGCGGTCGCTTGTGACGGCTACATTTTGATATTAGCTCCCACCGCAGGCATCTTGCATTCATGATATTTGCGGTGGCGGTGCGCATTGATTTTGACAGAAAGCGCATAGGCTCAGCGGGAATTCCTACTGAATGTGACATTCGGAGGATTCGGGACTCCTAAATTGGATTTTCCACTGGTCAGCCGCAACAAGTGACCGCACCTAATTAAAACGATTTCACACGCAGCTCCTTAAAGGTCGAAAAGCAAAAGTGTAAACAACAAGTGCTTTTATTTGATGATTTGCACTCTTCGCTGCCGCTTCATGATTAATTATAAATAAAACCAGAAAAGACAGCACCAGAAACAATAATAAAACGCGTTTCACTTCCCGTGGTCGAGTGTGTGCATATACGGGTAAATTATTCATAACGGTATTATCAGCTTTTCTGCGCTCTGCAGGCTGATTAAATTGCTCGTCCATCGCTGGAAAATGCAAAGGGTGGGGGACGGTGGTCAGTTGGAAAAGGCTCCCAAGGCTTACGATTCACAGAGGAGGTCAAAATAATTTTGTTTACAAAAGAAAATTGTACTCAAATCGTTTAGGTTTTTGGATTCTATGCAAGCAAGTTCTCTTATGAATTCCATAATAGACTTACAGAATTAATATTAAATTCCCAAGTATAATAATAATGAATATATATAGTTTAACTCTATCTGTATTTCATATAAAGACTTTCTGATTTAACTGTGGCTCTCTTAAAAAATCTAAAATATTTGAAACTTTGAACTCGTTTACTTCGAAGTAAAGTAACATGGTTCTAAGCTAAGAAATTAAAGATCTCAACTATGAAATTCTAATCCTATATCAATATAGTACTTACTATTTTTTAAATGAATATTACATTTATGGGTGCCATTGTACCTAATAAGCGAGGTGTCTGTTTCTGTGTGGGCGTCCGTCCAGTTCGTAAGCTTGCATTCTTTGTCTCTGCGTTGTGTGCGCCATTTATCAACTCGACTGGCTATCTGTCCGCCCGTGTCCTGTCCCTGTCCCTCTCCTTGTCTCCGACTCTGTCCCTGTCCCTGTCTTTGCCCCATTCAGCCTGTGGTCAGGGACAATTGCAGCAGAGCGCTGTAATTATTAAAAAGTAAATAACAACAGCCACCGCACAGCGACAGCAGCAACAATCGCGATAATGAGCACAAGTGCAACAATGCACTTAAAAGAAAGCCATCTAAAATAACTGCCATTAAATACATTTTTAATAGTTCATAAATAAGAATCTAATTTAAAAAACTAAAGCTTGTTTTCTGGTCAATTTAAATCGTTGTTTGTTTTGACAAACATTTCAATTGTGTCTTTATTAATAAATAAATATTATACATTAGTTAATGTGATAAGGACTTGTTAAAGGAATTGAGAAAACTATTTTCTTCTTTTCTTAGTTTCAGACATATATTAGATTAGACTAGATTTTTCTCCCAGTGTGACATAGTGAAAACAAGAGTGAAATTGTTGCAAAAGCCTGACGCAGAGACAAAGGAAAGGCCAAAGGTTGAAAGCTGCGCTATCGAGCTCAGCGCCTCGCCCGATTCCCACCGCACTCTTTATCTAGAACAGCGACGGGACAGTGAGCGTGGACATTTTCCATTTTCGCCACGCGAAAGCCTGCAAAATTAATGGCCAACAAGGATGTCAATGGCAGTTGAAGCGGCAGCGGCACAAATAGCAACAGAATCAGCCACCGCAGCGTCGGTAAATAGCACTCGGGCTAACAGTCAGCACAGCGGGACGGACAGGACATCAGTGTAAACAAAGCCCAGAGTGCAACAGAAATCGCAGCATGCAACAGATTTGATAAACCTTGCAAAAGACTACAATAGGAGGTCAGAGATTTCAGGCGATCAGCCGTTATAACTCGTTAATCGCTCCATTATTTTCGAAATTATGGCAGGGACAATTGAATAGTTAAATGCAGTTCAAGCTTTAGGTACAATTAATCGTTTAAGAAGCCGAGCCTTTTCAGGTTTGGATTTAAATAAGTTTAATTAGGCCCAAGTGTCGTATGAGTAATTTGTAAGTATGACAAGATTTGCAAAATTGAGATAACACGTCGTATACGTAATTTTGAGAAAGAGTTTTTAATTTGGCCGAAGGTGAAAAATTTAAAAATTTAAGAGCCAACATATTATATATAAACGTTGCTTTTTAGAGAAATTTAATTTTTATAAGACCATCATGAATTTCCTAAGTAAATAATGAACCAATAAGAAGGATAAAAGTATAAGTTTTAATACCCATTCAACCTTGGTGAATCATTACATCTACTGATGTATGTATGTATATATGCATGTTTGAGAAGTGCAAACTTTAAATACCTGCATTTCCAAAGGACTTTCCTTCCATTTTCCGTGAAAAGTTCGCCGTCACTTGTTGCCTCCTGGGAAAAAGTTCAATGCCCGCCGACGAGGCTAATAACTGGCATCAAGTGCGATGGCATGTGGAAATCGGGGGGGAGAGCGGACTGCAGAAGCTCTTGCACCTGGCCTCAGTGCCAATCAACGGCTCAGTTATCGTCCGTTCGGCAGGTGGCAAAGGAGCCTTTCTTTCCGGCGAAGCTCAGCTCATAAATGCCAGCGCACGCACACTCTTCGATTTTTGTTGGTGCCGCCGACTGGCATCAATTAAACTCGAATTGTTGCAGTGTCTTCGATTGGGTTCCCCCGTCCCTTTCGCACTCGCACTGGTACCAGCCTGCCAGCGGGCAATTTTCCAGGCGACGAATGTTCCTCTTTGGCGCCTCTCTCTTTTGCTCCTTAATTGCTTAGGTGTGTGTGCACTTACAAAAACATATTTATTGAAATTAAAAAAAAATGTAATTATTTATCTGTAAAATCAAAATTGTTTCCCTGCGGTTACTTATCTTGAAAAATCATTTAATTTTGGAGATATTTCCTAAACTCTTAGGTAAGCACTTCCTAAAAAACCTCTTTTTGAAAAACATACTAGCGTTAGTAATTAAAATATTACATTCATTTGAATTGTACATAATCTGTTATATTTTGAGGGATTATTTTTCTTAAGCTATAATTTTACTACTACTTGAATTTTTGTATTTGGTAATAATTTGCATGGCCTTATATTATATTTTGATTATCAATATCAAATGTCTATAATCCAACCCCCACTTTCTTGTAGTGTCTTCTGTTGCTTTCTCTCTCTCTGTCTCGCCTGCGGTTGGCGCTTAACTTTTGCATATTTCGCAACAACATTACGGCAAGAACAACGAGAGCAACTCAGCAGGCACGTGAATCCATTACGATGGCAGGCAATTATGTGCGTGTTTCTTCCGCTCCGCCCTCACTGTCTCCGCCTGATAGTTGGGGCCATACGCAAATCAAAACAGTTTCCACCAGCAACAACAAATCCAGCCAGCCGCAGCCACAGCAACAACAACAACAACAGCAATAACAAAAACAACAACAGAGGGTATGAAAAGCCACGAAATGGGTTTTTAATGCAAACGACTTTCCCTCCAATTGCACACGGCCAAGGTGAATGCTGAGGGCGCTAGCCGATGAAAACTTGGAAAAGTCTGGCCGAGACCACGAAAGGAAATTACAAAGGCTGCAGGTATATTTTTGGGTTAAAGCTTTTTCAGAATAATAATCATCTCTTTACCAGAATTGGCCTTGTTCATTCAACGTTTTAGAATTCTTTATATCTAATTGGTTTTTTAATTGACAGATCACTTGCTGAATATGTGCACCAAAAATAAGTAGTACTTAGAAACGAAACTGTTGTTACATTGATAATAAGTTGTTCTATAAAAAAAAGATGGGTGATAACCTAGTACTCACAAAGAGACTTTCGACCTTAAAATAAACTCTTTTAGAAATTAAACTATACAACTATTGTTTGTATTTAACTAATTCAATACACCTTGTAACTTCCTATTAGGTTACATTTTATTAAAGAGACTTGGCGACTTTTCTCTACAATGTCACCATAATCTGTTTGGTCAGTTGCTTCTTAAAATTAAACCAAAGGTCTATTTGAATCCCAAAAATAATAGAGTTTGGGATAGCCGTTCCTACCTAAAAGAGCTACATAAAGCGGAAATACATTTAAGTAAGTTATGACTAGTCGTGATCCCCATGGACTTCTCTGTGTGCAATGTACCGCCTCTATGCCCAGAAATCCAATGTTTTGGTATGTTTAGAAGCGCAAGTCGTGGCAGCAACAAGCCGAATGGGTCTAGTAGTTGTCTGCCCGCCTGTCGCTCCACCTTTCCGACTGCCAGTCAGTTGGCCAGGTGGGTCGACAGTCGGCGGCCTGGCTGTTTGGGCCTCGAATTGCCCCAAAAGAGCTTTAAATAAACAAACTAATAACGGATATCGCGAGGGTGCGAGCGAGAGAGTGGAATAGGAACAGCAACTGTCTTCCAAATGCACCGCATATATATATATATATATTCTATGGCAACCGCGCCAAGCCAAAATCGTGGATGTATAACCCGAATAAACAAACTAATAAAACGGGCCCACATGCCCGAGCCAGCGAGTCCACGAATCCTGGCTCAGAGCTGCCACGGAGGCGACCAACAACACTCGAGGAGCACACAAATACCACACTTGTCTATCTATCTATATACCTATACCCCAAAAGACTGAACGCCAAACAACCGAAAAAAATCACCAAAAATCGACGAGAACTGAAGGGAAAAGCAGCTCAAGTGGAGCAGTCGCTCCCAATTCCATTCGCCGCACTCCCACTGTATCTATTTGTGTGTCCCCAAAAAGAACCAAACTAATCCATAATCCGTCGACCAGAGAGCTGAATGCAATTGCAAATTAGATAACCAGGACTGGTTATTCGAGCATTCAGGAATTTACCATAAAACTGGGTGAGCAAATTTCAATTACTGCAAGGCTCTTGTAATTAAAAAGTGATTCTTTGTTTTTAAATTTGTAAAATTGAATACATCTCATAGGATTAACTGAGAATATCAAGGATTGTTTTCATGTAGTACTGAGATGATAAAGAAAATATCGAATTTTATTACGATGAAGTAGTTGTGGTTGATTGTTTTGTATTATCAATTTACAATTGGAGCAAATGTGATAGTTGGCCCATTTTGATTTTAGGAAAACAAATCGTAAATGTGTTTTCATTTCATTTTAATTACTATGCTTGAGTTAAGTTAGTTCAACTTATTTCTACGTAATTATTGTTTAAATTTCCCAAACTCAAATTCTTTGCCACTATGAACTTGTTGTATTAAGTCGTGTTTTATATGTTTGTTTACTTATTAAAAACCCGATTTACAGGCTCTTCTAGGACTGCATATTATGCAACGGCAGTAGAGGACTCACCAGAGACTATCCTAAATTCCCATAACCATGTCCGAAGCTCTCCAGGAGTCGCTTACCCGTATCGAACTATTATGAAACTCGAAGGTGGAAGGTGCCAAACGCACGGCAACGGGCCAGGGTCAGGGGCAGGGGCAGGGTCAGGTGCCAGTCCAGGTGCAGGTGCAGGTGCCGTTGCAAGGACAAGTGCCACCAAGGACGACTCCGGCGACGGCGGCGGCAACTCATGCCAGGCGCCGCCAGCTGATCTCCATGGCCAAATGCCGCAGTCGCTCCATACTCAACGATGAAACGCCCACGCCGGAGGCATCCTGCCCTGCTCCTGCTCCAGCTCCTGCAAATCCTTCGCCCCAACAACTACAACAACAACAACAGAACTACTTACCTCAAACATCTTTGCTGAAAATCGAACCATTCGTTCCTAGTTTTAATCAAAGACTACGCCGGCGTCCTATTGGTCGCTCTCATAGCACCTTAAGCCACAACGTCATCCCGAAGCGACCAGTGCAACAGCAACTCCAGCAGCAGCAGCAACAGCAACAGCAGCAAATCCAACAGCATTCGGAACTGCAAGTTGGCCAGCAGCAACAACTCAAGCGGAGCTATGCCGCCGCCGCCCAAATCCGTCAGCAGCAGCAGCAACAGCAGCGGAATCTGCCACGTGGCGTTGGCATCCAGCGCCAGCGCTCCAAGTCCACCTCCTCCTCGGCGGCCTCCAATAGTTGTCGTCCCGCTACAGCAGCCGTAACGCCCAATACTCTGGTGGGCAGTACGGGGGGCACTCTGGTGAGTGGAGCCATTGTGACGCCGCAACCAAATGGCATCTGCCGCATCCAGAGATTGCCCAAGGAGCGCGAGGAGTTGCCCGATCGCATAAACTACGACAAAAGGGGTCTCACGGCGATCCCCATCTTCGAGCAGGAACCCAATCTCCGACTGCTGTCGCTGCAGCACAACCTGATCAATACCTTCCACATACCCAAGGAGCTGCCACCGCCTCCACCTCCGCCAGTGCCTCCTCCTCCCATCGCCACGCCGCGGGAGAGCAACAACAATAATAAGCTGGGTGGTTTGTATCCTGGAATTGTGAAATTTAGATTTAAATGTTAGGACCTCCAATTTATATAACTCTTTTCTCACTCAGAATACAATAACGGCAATGGAAACAAGGAAGGAGGACGCTCTGGCCTGCGTGGCCATCATCCCGGCAGACTTACCCGTGCCATGACCAATGCTGGCGGTAATTCCCATCGCCTGTCGCCCAAATCCGGCGGAAGTCCAGGTTCAGGAAGTCCACTGACCACTCAGGCGCTGGCCATCAATGGAGGAACTGCCACTGGGCGTTCCAAGTTGGCCAAAAGGGGCTACAACTACGGACAGGCACAATTAACGCCTCCGCCGGCGTTGCGCATGCGCTATGGATTGGAGAAGTCCAAGAGCTTTGTCAGCAGCAGTCTGCAGGCGATGAAGCACCAACAACAGCTCATCCAAAGGCGAGCGTTTCTTAAGGCCACCAGAGGAGTGGCCGGTGGAGCAGTCAGTAATCTCCTCCAGAGTTGCGACGAGGGCAGTGCCCTGCACAGCAGCAATCTCTCACTGTGCGGCGGATGTGGCGAGGAAGAGGATTCCCCCAGCGTAATGAACTCCATTTCCGCCTTGGAGCAACTGAGCATCAAGAACAAGCAGTTGAGTTTAAGTGCCAGCTACGGCAGCATCTTCCAGCAGCTCGTCTTTCTGGATCTCTATGATAATCAGATTGAGAAGATAGCCAATCTGGATGGACTACCCTCACTTTCGGTGCTACTGCTGGGCAAGAACAGGATCACGGATATTGGAGGACTGTCTTCATTGAAGGACTCCTTAAGAGTCTTGGATCTGCATGGCAATAAACTCACCAGTTTGGGCAGCCGGATCAACTGTCTGCAGCAGCTCAAGTCACTGAATCTGGCGGGAAATCAAATACGACAAATAAACCAGCAGGATTTCCTGGGACTGCGCTGCCTCAGGGAGCTGAACCTCAAGAGGAATAAACTGCGGCGGATCAACGGCTTCCAGCATCTGGTGGCTCTGGAAAGGCTTTGGTTGTGCCACAACGAGTTGCACCGGGTGGATGATATGGCCAGTATAGCTCGGGCCAACCGCCTCCTTGAAGTCACAATCGAGAACAATCCGGTATCCCTCGCTGGAGATTGTGTATCCTTCCTGGTTTCATATCTCCCACTGCTGCAGACGCTCAGTCAGATGCCCATCACGGAACAAGTGCGTCGGGCGGCTCTGGCCTGGCGGCAGCACAAGGAACAGGCTCAAGCTGCTCCTGGAAGCTCCGAAGCTTATCACAGCATCCGGCGGGAAGAGGTGATATCCAATGCCAGGACCAATTGGGAGCTACTGCGATCCCAACAGACAGTGGTGGGTCGTCCCAAGAGCCGGCTGACCAGCGAACTGGCCAAGATCAATGAGTCTAATGAGGGTCCAACGGCCGAGGAGGAGACCGAGTCCGAGGAGTCACAGCAGCCGAAGGAACTGATGGATGAGCTGCAGGCACTGATCAAACTGCCGCCCATTGCCAAGAATTTGAGGAACCCGCAGGACGAGGATGGCGTTTCCTCGGAGGCTTCCAGTCTAGGACCCAATGTGGACTCCTGCTCCAGTTGCTATAGCTCGGATAACGAGGAGGGTGGTGCTAAAAACAAACCTCAGACTCCACAGATTGATGAAAACTGCAATAAAGTGGGGTTGGCAGAGAAGCCACCACCTTCACCTGTTCCTGCTGGTCCAACAAACCATTCTCCTGATTTGGTCAAGGTGACAACTCCAACGGCGGTGGCTTCTTCGCCTTCGCCGCCTGCTTTAACCCTGACTCCGCCAGCTGCTCCTGGAACTCCTGTGCCCGGAGGCACGTCTACTCCTCCTCCAGTGGCCACAACTGCTACCCTTCCCGTGCCCGCCACTGCATCCTCCAACACAAGTCGTCCGACGAGCAGCAAACAGCGCTCCCGTCACGCGCCCATTACTCAATTGGGCTTGCAGATTAATCAGAGGGGAGGAGCTAGTGCATCCTCCAAGCGCTACATGGCAGGCAGTCTAGTGCGGGCACAAACCGTGAGCAGCAGCACCAGTAACAGCAGCAGTTCCAACAGCAATGGTCGCGGAAAAGCCACTAACAATGGATTAACTCTGGTGGCAACGCAATCAAAGGCGGTAACGAGTGCCACTTCCAACCAATCTTCAGCAGGAGCCGGAGGAGGCACCGCAGGATCAACAACTGGATCAGCAACTGGAGGAACAGCAGCAGCTCCCAACGCCGCCATCACGGTGTCCAAACCCAGTGCCGCTGAACGGGAAAGAGAGCAAGGTGGCGATTACCTGATTGAGATTTGTGGAAGGTACCTTAACATCTATGGCCAGGGAGCCCTCCGTTTCATCGACAAGCAGTGGAATCCGGCCAAGGCCAATGATGTTCACACGCTCAACTTCAGCTACATTAACTTCAACAGCATCGTCTGTGTCCTAGGCAGGATTAAGCTGCGATTTCCTCACGCCGAGCATTATGTTTTCCGGGAGACGAACATTTCCTGTTTGGGTCAACTTAATGGATTGGCCGAGCTCCAGGGTCTCAGCAGTTTACTCATCGATGCCGAGGGCAATGGCATAACCTTGAAGGAATCTTGGCGAGCGTACGCCATCTACAGGTTGTCCCACTGGGGATTGAAGCAACTGAATGGTCAGGAGGTTACCGAAGCGGAAGTGGAGGCTGCGAATGCCATGTACGTGGGACTCTCTGACCTGGTGCTGTGGTCCATGCCGGAGGTGATGCTGCAACCGCTGTTGGCGCGACTTCGTCTGGATGAGACCTGCACGGCCAGCAAGCTGTCTCCAAAAGAGTGGCTCCTGCGGGCGGACAACAAATCCCTGCGTTTGGTGGTGGGAAAAGAGGCGCTCCAATGGAAGAAGAATGCAGGAGGAGCCGGTAATGGAGCAGCATCTTCCATCTCCATGAACCTGAATCCTGCGACGGACGCGGCCAGCACTGCCATGGCGCCCAGTGCCCGAGATCGTGGTCGTCAGCACTTTGCCCTGCTGCTGGAAAACACCTGCAACGCCGTGGAGAAGCTGCACAAACTGGAAACACTGTGGCCCAGCATGCTCCTCGACATCGTCCGGAATACACTCCTGGATTACGCCCAGCTGGATGTTTATCTGCGGAATCTCATGTGCGAGCTGATGAAGTAAGGTGCGTTTCCAACAAAAGATAAAACGAGAACTTATTAGTCGTACAGGCTTTTAGATAGAGGCGCACAGATAGAGCAACCATTATATTCCTATGATCCTAGGCATTTACCAATCCTGTAAAGCAGCTGCTTACAACTAGTCCAATTTTTATAAATATTTAACATTAAACAATATTAAAAAGTACCAATCTAGAATGGCGTCTTTCTGGTCAACACCGGAAATGCAGTTGGGCGGGTTGAACCCGCTTTTACAATCCTCCGTAATCCGTTCGGCTTAAGCACTATTATCAGAGTGGGTCGATTTGCTAGGTCTTGAAAATAATCTAAAATATCGAAGAAGTGGAGAGTTATACATAGATGTTGGTTGATCAGGCCTCACTTTCAATACTCAAAAGGTTTCTTTCCACTACTACTGTACTTTGTGCCTCAAATTCAACCCATTCTAAAATATATATCCTACGCTCTAGGCTGAGCCTCCGCATCATCGCTGGTCGCCGGCTTTTGCGTCTTTTGTGCCTTGTCAACATAGATGTTCAGGATAGCCTCAATGCCGGGATAAAGAACAAAGTTGGTGGTCCGTATTTTCTTGTCGATGAGGTACGACGTAACCGACTCCGTGTTGAAGGCAATGTCTAGGGCATCGCTGTGCGTCACCTTATCCAGGTGCGTTCGCTGCACTTTGATTACACAGTTTTCGAATCCATTTACTTTGATACTAAGATCCAGATTGTAGGCGGCATCGATGTCTGGCCAGCGTTGGGCCAACACATCTTCACTCCACTGCAGTTCCTGGCTGGCGGGATTCAGTCTGCCAGGTATCGCCACAAACTTTGACCACAGTTCTGAGGCAAAATGGGGAGCCATGGGTGCAAGCATGATAATCTGGGCGGCCAGAGCCCGCTCAAATTGTTTTCCATGCCTCAGGACATGCTTAGGTGTGCGCTGTAAGAGGTTACGATTAGCAGGAATTGAAAAATAAAGCCTGTTTCACAACTCACCCTTAGAGAATTGGTCAGTCCCTGCATCTTGGAGATTGCCACACTGAGTTGATGAGCATGGCGGTAGTTAAAAGTGGCTCCTTTGACATAAAAGTTCCGGGCATCGAAAAGCTTGGCATCCTCAGCCAGGAACTCCTCGCTGGTAACCACTACTTCCGAGGGAGTTTGATCCTCGCGAGCCTCTTGGAAATCCTGCAGGGTCAGCCAAAGGCGCTTTTGCCAATTGAGAATTCCAGGGAATGCTGTCCGAAATATAAAATATTATAAGTTGTCATATATGTTAACCTTAAAATACCCACTTGCGCTGGACCAATTGCGATGAGAGGTGGGCGCCACATCAGCCAGGATGATCAGTCTCGTTGTATCGGTGCCGTATTCATTGAACATATCACTGGGCTCCACGCCGTTCAGTTTTGACTTGGACATCTTTTCCCAGGTCATGACCACGGGCTCTTTGGATTCCTTCAGAACCGCTTGGTTCTTCTTGGCGTTCACAATTTCCACTTCTGACTCGGTGACATATTTTCCACTGCCCTTCACCCGGAAGGAGCGACCCATGACCATGCCCTGAACTAGCAGGCGGGAGAAGGGTTCACTGGTGGGCGAGAGTCCACAACTATGCAGGAAATGATTCATAAAACGGGCATAGTAGAGATGCAGCACGGCGTGTTCCTTTCCCCCGATATACAGATCCACGGGCATAAACTTGTTGGTCAGCTCGGGATCGAAAATGCGCTCGGAGTTTTGGGCATCCAGATAACGCAGGTAGTACCAAGAGCTGTCCACGAATGTGTCCATTGTATCCGTCTCCCTTCGAGCATCCTTAACTCCGCATTTAGGACACTCGCAAAGAAACGCTTCTTTAGGGGAATCTTTCGGTGGCAACGACACCGGAAGCTGCTCCTCGGGCACTGGAACTGCTCCGCACTTGGGACAGTGGACAATGGGAATTGGAGTGCCCCAGTAGCGCTGTCGTGAGATTAACCAATCCTGCAGCTTGGAGGACACCCGATAGCCGCCCACATTGAGGCGAGTGGCTGCCTGAAGAACCTCCTTTCTCAACAGCTCCCAGTTGGCTGGACTTAAGACATCTTCCTCCTTGCCGGAAGAAGTGAAAGCCAATCCGTAGGACTCCCACAGCTCCTTGTCCTCGCTACGGAAACTGGGTGCTGCCAAGTAAACATCGCACTTCGGTGGGAAAGTCACCTCGTCGCCAAAAACCACGGGAATTGTGGTGGCCGCAAAGGGATTCTCCGCACTAAGGCTGCCCGCATCCTCTAGCTTCGACAGGTGATGATTGCTGCGGATCACGAGGAATGCATGGGGATCCTTTAAGTGCTCTGGATGGGTAGTCCACACGCGCAACAGTCCGGAGGCGGATGTGAGCAGGTTGAAGGCGTACCCATCGCATTCTCCGATCCAATGGCGCTGTAAATTAATAATATCCCTCCAATCGCGCAGCGTGGGATCTTCCAGGCCATCTAGCAATTGTTTGGCATATGCACTCGTTCGGATGAACCATTGCCTCAGTAGCTTCTTTTCCACCTTGGCTCCAGAGCGCCAGGAGCAGCCATTAGCGTCCACCTGCTCGTCGGCAAGCACTGTCTTGTCCACGGGATCCCAGTTGACGAGGGCTTCGTTCTGATAGGCCAGTCCATGGCGGTGCAGCATTAGGAACAGGTGCTGCGTCCACTTGTAGTACTGCGGACTGCAGGTGGAAAGCTCGTGGTTCCAGTCGAATGAACATCCCAGTCGCTTGAGTTGCTCCTTCATTTGTGCGATATTCTGTTCCGTCCAGGATGCGGGTTCCACTCCCCGCTGATTGGCGGCATTCTCGGCGGGCAGACCAAAGGAATCCCAACCCATGGGTTGGAACACATTCTTGCCGCACATCCGCTGGAAACGAGCCACAGAATCGGCAATGGTATAGACGCGCACATGGCCCATGTGGAGATTGCCCGAGGGATACGGGAACATGGAGAGCACGTAGTACTTGTCCTGCGATTCCTTGGGGTTAAACTGTCCTCCACTGAGTTCTTCCCGCCAGTGAGCCTCTATCCGGTGCTTGACATCGTTGGTTAACTCCAAGTTCTGGAATATCCGAAAAGTTTTAGATGATTTTTGGTGCAATTTCATCACCAACCTCATTTCCCGTGCAGCTTTGGGTGAGCAGACGCCTCCAACTGCTCCAATACACCCCTCTCCAAGGGCGAGTACTTCTCAGCGCTTGCATTTTTCTTATTTTAATTGATTAAATTGCACATTTCAATTATTGAATAACAAAATCGTAAGAACCCAATGCACTCTACAGTCGAACAGCTGTTTTAGGAATAGAGTTACCACATCGCTCAGGTGTCCGCTATTTGGTCCTAGAATTTTTGGCGGGAAGCGTTTTTGATATACCGGCAGCCCTTCGCCCAGCGTTGTATTTTTGCGGCAGCTTTTACTACGGCAACTCCATGCTTTGTGCAGTCCATTTTTGACTAAGTGGCAAGGCCCACATTGCATTTCGCGAAAAAAAAAGCAGACGTAATTTTTCACAGGGCGAGGCATTGTGAAAAAATCCAATTGCACACATTTTAAGGAGTATTTATCAACAGAAAGTATTTGTGGGACATGGGCGACTCCCTGGAGAACCCCGATACGTCGGTTGATCCGGTCGTAAACCTGTCCATTGCGAATTACGATGCATTTGCCAACTATCTTCGCAAGGCGGTGACCATTTTGCTGCCGGAGGAGGATGTGGTTCCTGCATCGCTGAATAACGCTCTGGACGATCCCGTCAACCAGGACACCATCCGGAAGTTCCTCTCCGATCCCCAGGTGCAGGCGCTCTACGTCCAACGTAATTGCATCAAAGGTAGGATCAGAATTTATGCCCCGTTGGCAAAAAAAATTCGGTGAAAAAAGTGCAGCCATCTGCACAAAATGGCGTCTCTTTGTCAGAGATAAAAAAGTTGGCAAGCTTTCAAAGAGTTCTTTTTGTAGTTAGTAAGGTTACAATATCGGTTTCTTATTGGTAAAATGAGTCATTAATAGGTATGCTAGCTGAATACGCAACCAGTTTGTTAAAAATCAATGCGGCAGATGTTTTTGTCTGAAGTCCAATTAGAATTTCTGTTTTACTTTAGCTACCGAAGTTCGGATGCCCTATAAATTGTTAAGGGTATAAAGTGGATAATGATATGTGTAAAATTAGGCGATTAAATGATAAAACTATTTGTTTTAGCAAATAAATCTAATTTTATAATAATCGAAATTATTTATACCATTCGTTTTTTTGAATGAAGTAATGAATTTGTGTTAAAAAGTAGGTACTAAAAGTATTTCTAGTGAATGTAAGAAAATCTAATCTAGTTTGTTGAGGTTTGTGTCTTTAAATGGTGCTAACTAAGATTATAAAAGTTTATATCAAAGTAATGGCAAACTGCAAAACAAAATCAACATACCGCACTCTACGGTATACAAACAGGTTTTTGTGCATGACGTCAGCCCATCTGACTCACAATTCGATAACGATAGAGCGATAACTTCGAGTAAGCGATAACTGCAAGCAGCTGATTTGCCGGTTGCCGGCTTCGTTTGTTTACAAACAAACCGCCGGCAAACAGCTGTCGGCCGTAGAGAAACAAGTTTTGTTTACGGAAACGACCTTGGAGGCTGCGCACACCTTCTGCTGACTCGGTGACTTTGGGGACTGAACGACATTGACATTGACCGAAGGCAGTGGCAATGGCAATGGCACTGGGAATCGGCATTGGCATTGGCCGCAAGGCCACCTGCGTGGGAGCAATGACAGCGCCAAGGTCCAGCCTAGAGCACACGAATTTCGAAGGTTTTTCCTTGGCCGCTGAATTTCCGGAGGTCGACGCCTTGATAATGAAATGATGTCAGTGCCGTGCCATTGAGTCCAATGCCAAATGGGCCATACGGAACGTGGGTGAGGGGTAATTTTGTTACCAGTCATGCGTTGCTTTATTTGATTGGTGGGGAATTTTGAGTCCTCGAAATAGATGGTACATGATTTTAAGGACTTCATAACTTAGGTTATAATTTATATATAATTTTCTGGGAATTTTAAGTATTACACATTCCAATAGGTTAACCCTTAATAATTAACAATATATTAATCATGTTATTTTTTTTAAAAATTTAATTGTTAATCATTATCCCCCTTTCAATTTTCCAGAGGACGATACCGAGCAGCCGGCGGAGGGCGAAGATGAGAAGGAGCAGGTTACCTACCAGATCAGCAACGATGTTCACTTTACCAACAGCCGTATGGCGTCGCTGGCCTGCATCAAGCGCGGTGTGGTGGTGGAGGCGGACAAGTCGATTCACTCCCAGCTGCGGCTGATCAATTTCTCGGACGGATCGCCCTACGAGACGCTGCACGCGTTCATCAGCAAGTCCCTGGCGCCCTACTTTAAGTCGTACGTCAAAGAGTCGGGACGCGCTGATCGCGATGGCGACAAGATGGCTCCCTCCGTGGAGAAGAAGTTGGCCGAGCTGGAGATGGGACTGCTGCACCTGCAGCAGAACATAGACATACCGGAAATTACATTGACGGCTCACCAGACCGTCAACAATGTGATCCGCAAGTGCTCGGACGAAAATCGCAAGGCCAAGGTTGCCGATTTTGGCGACAAGGTGGAGGACTCTTCCTTCCTGAATCAACTGCAGACCGGTGTTAACCGCTGGATCACCGAGATCAAGAAGGTGACCAAGCTGAACCGTGATCCCGGGTCGGGAACTGCATTGCAGGTGAGTAAAATAAATGAGAAAGACTATAAAATCAAAAACATAATATTATTTATTTCTTTTCCAGGAAATCTCTTTCTGGCTGAATTTAGAGCGTGCCCTGTATCGCATCCAGGAAAAGCGCGAGTCGCCAGAGGTAGCTCTAACCTTGGACATTCTGAAGCATGGAAAGCGTTTCCATGCCACCGTTTCTTTTGATACGGATACCGGCTTAAAACAGGCTCTGGCCACAGTAGCCGATTACAATCCTTTGATGAAGGATTTTCCCATTAATGATCTACTTTCCGCTACTGAACTGGAGAAAATTCGACCTGCAGTGCAGCAGATCTTCTCCCATCTGCGCAAGGTTCGCAACACCAAGTACCCCATTCAGCGGTGCCTCAAGCTCATCGAGGCCATCTCGCGGGATTTATCGCAGCAGTTGCTCAAGGTGCTGGGCACCCGTCGACTGATGCACATTCCCTTCGATGAATTCGAGCGTGTAATGAACCAGTGCTTCGAGATATTCAGCTGTTGGGATGATGAGTACGACAAGCTGCAGGGATTGCTACGTGATATTGTAAAGAAGAAGCGCGATGAGCATCTCAAAATGGTGTGGCGCGTCTCGCCGGCTCATAAGAAGTTGCAGACCCGCATGGAGCACATGCGTAAGTTCCGCCGTCAGCATGAGCAGTTGCGCACCGTCATTCTGCGCGTTTTGCGGCCCAACAAGCCCGCTGTTAGCGATGATGTCAACGCCACGGAAACCAAGCAACCTTACAGCCTAGACGCTGCCGATGCCAATGCCATCGAGGAGGTTAACCTGGCCTACGAGAACGTCAAGGAGGTGGACTGTCTCGACATCACCAAGGAGGGATCCGAAGCTTGGGAGGCTGCTGTCAAGCGATACGAGGAGAAGATTGGTAATTAAACTCTTGGTTTATATCCGATTATTTATATATCCAAATATTAAATGGTATCTTTCGATCTACAGATCGTGTGGAGACCCGTATTACGGCCCATCTGCGCGATCAGCTGGGAACGGCCAAGAATGCCAACGAGATGTTCCGTATCTTTTCGCGCTTCAATGCGCTCTTCGTGCGTCCGCACATCCGTGGGGCTATCAGGGAGTACCAGACTCAGCTGATTCAGCGCGTCAAGGACGACATCGAGGCCCTGCACGAGAAGTTCAAGGTGCAGTATCCACAGAGCAAGAGCTGCCGTCTGTCCTCAGTACGAGATCTGCCTCCCGTGGCTGGGTCTATCATCTGGGCCCGTCAGATCGACAACCAGCTGACGATGTACTTGAAGCGCGTCGAGGACGTGCTGGGCAAGGGCTGGGAGACCCATATCGAGGGTCAGAAGCTGAAGGCCGACGGCGATAGCTTCAGAGCCAAGCTGTCCATCTCTGATGTGTTTCATGAGTGGGCCCGCAAAGTGCAGGAGCGTAACTTTGGCAGCACTGGCCGTATCTTTACTATCGAGTCAACACGTTCTCGCATAGGTCGTGGCAACGTGCTCCGTTTGCGGGTCAACTTTTTACCGGAGATTATCACCCTGGCCAAGGAGGTCCGCAACATCAAGAATCTAGGATTCAGGTAAGGAGGCAGATAATTTTTTTATAATTATAATTTAAATTAAATATAATATGTCCTTTAGAGTTCCCCTGACCATTGTGAACAAGGCGCATCAGGCAAACCAGATTTATCCATATGCTATTTCGCTGATTGAGAGTGTTCGCACCTACGAACGCACTTTGGAGAAGGTAAGATCCGTTTATTAAAGGCTGCAATTAGACAAATCGGAAGAGATTACATGGTTTAAAGATGGGGGATTATTTAATTTGCTCAGTTATAAAGTGTAATCTATGATAATTTGTCTAATATCAGCCTCACATTTCTTTTAACACCTTTGTCCAGCTCTTACACTTTACAAAATCACACTTGTCACTCCTCCACCATCACAAGATGTCACCGTGCTGGAGCATTTGCTCTGTTCTCTTGCATTGCTTTGTTCCTGGCGTGCAGCTTGAATTTTGTTATCCACCACACTTTAAACACTTTACACGCCCATAAATAATCACCTTAGTTTTAGACACGAGATCCGCTCTTAAACTAAACCAACCGAAAAACCAACAACCTTTCTTTCATGCAGCTTAATAATAGGAGTCTAGCACAAAATTCAGTATTCAAGGTAGTGTCGTTTGTCCCCTCAAAGTTTGTTTATTCCGTAAGCCGTATCTGCAACCACTATTTAATTTCTTAGTTTAGTTTGTTGAACTCCCGCATGACAAAGAAAGTATCTAGCTGTGATTCTATTCAAAACAAAAACTAATTCTGGATTAATATATAACTAATATAGATCGAAGATCGTGCTAGCATTGTGCCCCTTGTGGCAGGACTTCGTAAGGATGTCCTCAACTTGGTTTCCGAGGGCATCGGCCTAATCTGGGAGTCTTACAAACTGGATCCGTACGTTTTACGCCTTTCGGAGTGTGTGACCCAGTTCCAGGAGAAGGTAATGGTTTTAGATTATATTATTATATGAGTTGGCAAATTCTAATCTTTCGTTTTTAATTC